CGCTGATTACAAAGGAGAAAGCTACTATATATACTATTTCCTAACCGTTTGTCTGATGTGACCTAGACGTGTGAAACAATCCAGGCCGTCCAAATAAAGCGTATTACAAAAGTAGTCACGTGATAAGCACGAGTAGCTAATAACCAATGTAAAACAGCAAAGAACTATACTTCAGAAGATGTTGTTGCAGACCCTCTGTGTGTCATCCCAGAGGCTCTGCGGGATATAACTTGAAAGAGCTTGATCCTTGAGGATCATCTTCTAGAACCTCTGTGATAGACTGCAGAGGTTCTGTTGTCTTTGACTTGTATGTTTTCACTACAGAGGACCAGTTGCCAGAACCTCTGTGATAGACAACAGAGGTTCTGTCACTTTTGACTTGTACGTTGAACTTCTTTTGTTGGTCCTCTGTGATCTTCTGTGATAGTTCCTCTTCTTTCAACACTTGCTGTAATTACTTTTTCCGTACTTTTACATTTCAAGAAATGAGAGCTAACAACGATGAAGCTGATGATCCCTTGTCCTTTCCTGATGCTGGAAGAGATCTTGCTGCTGATGATGATAAAGACGATGATGGTAACGACTTCGCTATTCAATGCCACACCAAACCAACTACCTCTCTAAAAGTAGTCTCTCAGAGAAAATATTCATCCAAGGGGGAGAAGAACAAGGTAAAAGAGAAAGAAATATATACAAAGAAAAAGAAAACCTCTTCCAAAGACAAAGTGTTAGCTCTCATTTCACTTAATGTAAAAGTATGAAAAAAGTAAATTCTGCAAGTGTTGACAGAAGAGGTTCCACCACAGAAGACCATAGAGGACCAACAACAGAAGGTGTTCTATCATACAAGTGAAGTGTGACAGAACCTCTGTTGTCTACCACAGAGGTTCTGGAAACTGGTCCTCTGTATTCAAAGCTTACAAGTCAAAGATGACAGGACCTTTGTTGTCTATCATAGAGGTTATGGAAGATAATCCTCTGGATTCAAGTGCTCTCAAGTGAAATCCAGCAGAGCCTCTAGGATGGCTCACAGAGGGTCTGCAGTCTTATCTTCTGTGAAGAACTTCTTTACTGTTTTACTTAGATTAGTTAGCTGCTCGTGCTTATCACGTGAATGTTTGTAATCCGCTTTATTTGAACGGCTTAGATTAATTTGTACGTCTAGGTCTTGTCATAAAAGTCGTTAGGAACGAGTATAAATAGCAGCTTAAGCATTTGTAATTAAGTGTGCTTCCAGTATTGTAATCGTTCATTTTCAATTCAATTGAAATACATTTGAAGCTTCTCTCGTGTGTTCTTAATATTCATTGTCTGCTTGTTCTTCATTGTTCTTGATTCATTGCTCTATTTGATTCTTACTTTGTTTCCGCTGCACTGTGTTTGTCATATAGATCATTTATCGTATTGGGTTAATATAAGAACTGTGTTAATCGATCCTAACAATTGGTATCAGAGCAGGAATCAAATTCTATTTTGATTTATTCTGTTCTTGGTATTAATCTTCATTCGCTCAAGAAAAAACAGTCGTCTTCTTCAGGTTACCCTGTTTTTCACTATTTCATCTGTTTTCTTCTTATTCCTATTTTTCTGCTTCTTCTAATGGCGAATCCAGCCAATACTTCCTTTATGAGCACTGGTTCACAATCGAAACCTCCCACGCTCATACGTGAGGAGTACCCACAGTGGAAAGTT